CTCGGCTTTCTCTTTTACATTGGCTCTGTGTTTCTTATTTTAAAAAGACGATTGGTTACATCTACAGTCTGTGACTTAAAAAACAAGGCATAGGTTTTAGGATTAAACAAAAAAAATGCTATGCTTAGGCATTTATAAACAAGTTGGGTTTTTATCATGGAGAGGTGGTTACACAAAAGCACCATTACAGCCGGGCCTCTGATCATGTACTTTCTATTGAAGGATTTTAATATACATATAAGCAAAGCCATAGGCTAAAGATGAGTCAGTTCTATCCACCACCACCAGAGGGCAGTCTTAAACCAAAAAGAATGTTAAAATCAAGACAACTAACTCCATTTCTAGCACTGACTCAAATCAATAAAGCATCTAATAACAAACACTCTGCCTAGAACGTCTCTATAACATGGAAACGATGACATCAATTACTACTCTAAGATACAAAGAGGAAAGTGAGTCACATTCTTATGTTATCCTTTCTGCTATGGCCAAGTGGGTCAGCTAGGTCAGTTTAACACCGGGCATCAACGTGGTTATTTTGGGTTGTGAGTCTAGCCTTTAATGGCTGAGCCATCTCTCCAGCTCCAGTGGCTGTTAATAAGATCATCTCTCCACTTTCTGTCAGCTCCATGTCTTTCTTCTGACAGAGGACAATGCCTTAAAAATAAAAAGTCATAAACTCTCCAAATTACCAGTAGGAAATGGGCTGCGTGACTTTTCTAGCATGGTGACAACCATACTGTCCCACTGTATCATACATATGCCTATGGTCCTATCACACCCTTAAATACAGACACCATAAACACAGAAAAACTTAGTGACTGAAACCAACGATGGATATATTCTTTGACTCTTACTTTTTCTTTTCTTTTTACCCCAGTGTTTGGGATTAAACCCCGAAACATCCTAAGGAAGCGCTCTAACACTGAGTTAAAGCCCAGCCTCGACTCAACACTTCTTTCAATAATTCATCAACAAACAAGCCTACACCCCAAAACATACTCAATATTCACTGCATTATTTATAGTGACAAGGTAAGAAGCAAATTGTGAGTGGCATACACCACGATTTACCCTCAACATTGCCCTTTAATAGCAGAACTCCTAAGTTTTAGTCAAGGATGCAGCTAATTGCCCACCTCTCTTTGAATATGGGGACGGCCATGCAATAATGTTCTGGGGAACAAGACGTACTGCCAAAATCTCTGGCTGGTGTAAAAAGAGTAGCAGACACTGTTTCCACTTGCTGCTGACTCGCACACAGCTGGCAGTCGCTGGAACAGTCATCCTGTACTAAGTCATGTGCTGAAGACCTGTAGGGCCCTCTACCGCTGAGCTCTTCTTCCACAGAACAAATCTGTGTTTTAAAATACTGTATTTTGAGTCCTGTTCTTCCCAGAAGCTTAAACTGCACTCTAATAGACATCAGTGTCCACACATAAAACAATCAATCAATAAATGATGGCAAATCTATACCCAGCCTGGACATTTTTTTTAAAGGTAAATTTATTTCTACGTATTGACTTCTGAAATATACTGGTGCGTCAACAGAGATCTAGGCACCTCCTCGACCTTACAGGGGTGGCAGAAAAGTGTGTATACACTGAAAACCTGTATACACTAGCAGTGTTTGGAATGTTATTATGATACAAATTATCTTATGAACCAAATTTCCATCTTTGGTGAACTATTTTCCAAGTCCACACAATTAAGAGCTTGGGAAGTAGAACTTATGTTAGCTACCCTACATAATGGACCAGCACAGCCGTGGCTACAGCAGGCATTGGCACAGGCAGAACGTACAGGGATAATCCGACTAATCACGTTGATACCGGGTATCAGTTACGACCTCAAGTGAAGCCACTGCTCTGCCCTCTTCTGCTAACTCTCTGTCACATTTCTTGGAGCAGCTTGTTCGTGTGGCCAACGATCACTGTACTAGCTTTACTCAGTGAGCTCTGTTATCAAAAGGAAACCTCTAAGTCTCATCAAAAGCCATGGTTCTGAAGCCCTGCAGTACCAGAAAAAAAGGCTGGGAAACTGAGGAACCTGTCCACACCGAGCTTCACTAAATCTGAACGTTTGAGCTGAGTGCAGGTACAGTGCCTCCCACCCTCCTTAGGAGCACGTCAGCCACAGTGAATTCTCACGTGCAGTCAGGACCGAGAACCACCACACTACAGGTGGAGGAAGAAAGAGTTCAGAGGCCCTGTACCGGTCCTCTCCTGACTCTTCTCTCTCCCACTTCTACTATGAACAGCCAGGAGGGCTGGAGAGACAGGCTAAGAGTGCTCATGGCTCTTGGTGAGAGACCAGGCTGGAGTCCCGGCACTCACATGGTGACCCACAACTCTTTGTGACTCAGTTCTGGGGGATCTTGACCCTCTTCTGACCTCCACTGGCACCAGACACACATGCATATATGCAGGCAAACACTCACAGACAGAAAAAACAAAAATAAATCTTCAAAAAAGAAAAAAGAAAAGGAAATTAAAACTAGAGAAAGAAAACCAAAGCCCCGAGTCAGGACCACCACCACCCCCAAAGAGGTTGCTGGTTTCCAGGTCAGATCTGTGGTTTGGGGCCTTTCAGTGAGAACTGGCGCATACCAAATATGTGACGGGTCCAAGGTGACAACACGTAAAGTCGCATTCTCTGAATCACTGTTCAAGTCATGGAAACATGTATTTGGGAGATGCCGTTCTTCCTGGTGCATAAGATTTCTCAAAGCCAGTGTTCTCAACCCTTCTAAATCTACGGTCCTTTAGCATGCCATGACCTCAACCATACAATTATTCTCATTGCTACTTCATAACTGTAATTTTGCTGCTGTTATAAATTACAAATATCTGTGTTTTGTGATGGTCTTAAGTGACCTCTGTGAAAGGGTCATTTGACCCAGGGGGTTTGCGTCCCACGGGTTGAGAACCCCTGCTCTAAGAACTCTAGGGAATGTCTCCAAAGGCAGCCTGTGACTTAAAGCCACCATGAAAGGTCATGCAGAGAGCACACACTGGAAGTTTGGCCTGGTCAAAAAGCCACCCAGCACATTCCTTCCCTGTGACTTCAGCTCAAATAAAAACACTGCTCTGCTGTAGTTCTCCTTCTTCCCAGCCTGTCCTCCCTACAGATCTGATTACTTCTTCAAACATGTGGGCAGGCGAAAGGCTAAGTCAGAGGTAAACGGCTGATGACCTACATCAACAGGCACACGAAATTCTTTGATGTTATTCCACTTTTGCTAGGTAATCCTACTATACTGTTGAACTGAGCCATAATTACAGCAGTTTATGGATACAGAGTACCATTTGGCAAAGACTGTGGTAATCTCTTTAAAAGCATCATGCCAGGGCTGGAAAGATGGCTCAGTGGCTAAGAGCCCTGGCTGCTCTTCCAGAGGACTTGGGTTCAGTTTCCAGCGCCTACGTAGCAGCTCACAACTGTCTGTGACTCCAGTTCTAGGGGATCTGATACCTTCTTCCGGCCTCCACAGGTACCAGGCATGCACATGATACACAGACATACACGAAGGCAAAACATCACACACATAAAATTTTTTCAAAAAAATTTAAGTATTATGCCACACAAAATCTCATAACAGGGTGGGAGGAGGGGGGGTTGTGGATAGTATGTGGAGTGAGTAGAAATTTTCTTAATAAAGAAAAATGAAAACAAAAATCTCATAACAGCAAAGCCAAGATGATGATGATGGTAATGATATGATGATGATGACGATGATGATGATGATTATTGAGACAGGGTTTCTCTGTAAAAACAGAGAAACTGTTTGGCTATCCTGGAACTTGCTCTGTAGACCAGGCTGGCTTTGAAGTCACAGAGATCCACCTGCCTCTGCCTCCCAAGTGTGGGATTAAAGGCCTGGGCCACCACTGCCCAGCAACACAGCTGAGAACTTTAAAGATTAAAAAAAAAAAAAAAAAATCAAGCGAATGCAAGGAAAATGAAGCTACAAAATTTGTAAAAACAAATGAATAGGACTGGGAAATACTCTATTAAGTTAGGTGATCCACACCCGGATAGACAAGATCTACCTGTCCTCTCATGTGTGGGTCCTAGCTTCTAATTGTTAAGCACCTGTATTTACGTGGGAATAAGTGTATGGAGGCCAGAAAACTTTCTTCCAGGACCATGACACTGGAAAGAACGGTGAGAAGATTATATGTGATATGAAAATGAAATGAGGAATGCTGGAGGTGGAAAGTTCAGCGGGACAGGAGGAAGGGTGGGGGTGGGGGAGACGGAGTGGGAGTCAACCATCCACCACTAAGTATGACAAAGGCAGAAAGAACATGCTGCTTTGTACACTAGTTTTTTAAAGGGAGAAAGAGAAAAGGGGAAAAAGAAAATTCCTGGCCAAGAGGTACTATAATCTAAGGCTACGGAGCTAAATGAGTTGTGGAAAGAACATTTAAAGCAGCAAACGACTCCGCCCACCCTGCTGCTCTCTGTACCAGACTCCGCCCACCATCCTGCTGCTCTCTGCACCAGACTCCGCCCATCATCCTGCTGCTCTCTGCACCAGACTCCGCCCACCATCCTGCTGCTCTCTGCACCAGACTCTGCCCATCACCCTGCTGCTCTCTGCACCAGACTCCACCCATCCTGCTGCTCTCTGCACCAGACTTCACCACCCATCATCCTGCTGCTCTCTACAAAGCCCCTAAGTAGCTCACTGCATACGTTTGCAGTAAGTACTAGTCTCTCTCCAATGAAGTCAACCCAAGGGAAAAAGATCTCTACAGACAATGAATTTTTGCACTACCTCCTTCATGATAGATAATCTTCTTTTTTCAAGACTGGAAGTTTCTGGTTTCTGCTTCTTCCATTTTCTCTTCAAAGCTTTTTCTTGAAGTTCCCAGTGCACCAATGCTCTGTTCTTTGACTTGTGTATCTCATGACGGCGTACCTATACAGAAGGAGAAACTGTAAAGAAATGTTTTCAGTAACAAAAAGTTGCCTGCTCCTATGTACTAGTTCACCACTTCTTATTCCTTTCTGGTTCGCACGCGTGCATGCGTGCAGGCATGTGTTTACATTCATAGCTAAAACTTTCATAGTCACATCTACGTTTTCAAAAACGATCTAAAAGAGAAGTATCTAGAACATGGAGGTCTAGCCTAAGACACACAAAAATATTAACTTCTACTTCAGTTGTACAGACTACCAAAACCCTCCTGTTCTTCAATTCACAGGTTAAAACTCATTCAACAAATGCTAGGATATTAATTAGCAGTCAACACTGACACTTTGCACATGATGTAAAGGGTCCCAGATCCACCAAAGTCATCTTTGGCAAAGCACACCCCTTTCATGATCACTGCATTACTTCAAGTCAATGATGCACTGTTTGTATAGCTCTGAAGCGGCTTCATGTGGAAGTAAGGTCACAGATGATGTAGATATCCAGAGAAGGAGAGTTCCTGAGGCAGAGGAGGTAGGAGCCAGAGCTCCTAAAAGGTTGGAAGGGAAGAGTCCACTGGGGTGACTGAGGAATAAAAGTAGACATTTGCCTTTACAAGTACTCCAGTGCTCAGAATTGCAAATATGAACAAAACTTGGGTCATCTAAGGAAGTTTTAATCATGCAAACTACCAAAAAGATTAGCAATCAAGAATTGTGAAGATACAAATCAGAAATCACAATGACACAGTACTTTATACTCACCAGAAGAATTAAAATTTTTAAAGGTGACAATAATAGTGTGTATAAAACCAGAAGCTCCACACATTCTGGTGGAATTTAAATCATGTAAGCACTTTGGAAAACAGTTTGACAGGTATTCATAAAGTCCAGTATGAAGATGCAAGACCTAGCCATTCTGTTCCAGATATACACAACTGCCTACATATGCATGTGTTCACAGAGACTTGTACATAAATGTCCACAATGGTGTTACTCATAATAGACAAGAAGCATAAACCAGATGTACAACTAACAGAAAAATCAAATCTGAAATTTCCATTCAAAGGAACATTATTTCACAAAAGGAAGGAAAGAAGTAGCGATACATACTATAACATGGATGAATCTTTAAAACATGCTAGAAAAAGAGGCTCCATATAAGAGACCACATACTGCATCCCATACGTAAGAGAAGTCAAGGCAAGGCAAATTCAGAGAGACAGAAAGTAGATTAGTCACTGCCATGGACAGGCTAGCCAGAGCTACACAGCACACACCTGCCTTGAAAATAGCAACAACAATAATAATAAAATGCTGAAGATAATTTTAGACAGAAAAGACAACCAGAGATCTGTAGGTCAATTCTAGGTAAGTGATAAAACTGTAAACCAAAAATGTTTAGTAAAATTCTAACAGTAACTAATAAGCCTCAGTAAAATCAGAAATTTCTTAAGATACACTTTTAGTTTTTACACAGATGTGAACAGACTAAGTAAAGCTAGACAACTTCCATAAGGGATGGTGGCCTCTGTTTGGAAGGCTAGAAACCAGACACCAACTAAAACATAGAGTCCAGGACTTAACTTTCAGGGTTAAACTTACCAGATCTTCAGGAGTTGCCCGGTGAACTGTTAGATCATTCACAGTATTCTTTAAAAAAGAAAGAAAGAAAGAAAGAAAGAGAGAGAGAGAGAGAGAGAGAGAGAGAGAGAGAGAGAGAGAGAAAGAAAGAAGAAAGAAAATAAGCTTTTAAGATGTTTCCTTATAAATTATTAATAGTTACTGAGTTTTACTAGCTGAAAATTGATTCAAAGTCCTAAGACTATGAATCTTTTTTTAGGAACCAATATTGTCAATATAACATTAAAACAGATTACTTTTAAATATTCTCTAGAAAATAGCCTATTTTGAAGTGTTATACAGGAGATGAAGCACTCTACTATTTTAAAACAGGGTAGCATATATTCAAAACAAGTAAACTTAACTGAAGTAAAGTTTTTTAACAAAGAAAGTGTGGTGACTACAGCAAGCTGCAGAAGGAACCTTTTTTGAGGACATAGCTTCTATCTCACTAAAACTCTAATTCTTGGAAGGAACTAGAAGTTATTGCCCTTAATACATGTACTCTTAATGTGGAGGGACACAAATATCCTGCTCTCCCTTCCAAGACTAAGATCATGCCTAAAAACCCACCCGACCCTATTACAGCTGAGCTCCATCACACCACATGACGAAAGTCAGGACGTCCATTCCCCAGAACCCGTTACTTACTATCCCAAGACTTACATCCCATTCTTGCCTCACTGTGGCTTTCTTCTTTACTTTCAGAGTTTTTCTTCCACCTCCCCGGGGACCAAAGCGATTCACTCTGATCAGTGACATCTAGGAATGATGACATTTTTTTAAAATACGGGCAAAGAAATAATTGTGCATCATGGGGAAGGGGACATGTAGGACAAACAAAATCACTCTCAAAATATCAGAGGAAGTTAATCATGATTAAAGGAATAGGCTATCTAAATACTTGGTTTCCTCATTTCACAATTAATAGTAAAGTGAAACCAATAACCACAATGAAAAGGTTTTAAATAACAAAACTTTTTTTTGCTTAATAAGGAACTTTAGAAATATAAAAATTATGACCTAAAATAGAAAACTTCAATGGTTACATCTGTCATCAGATATAAAATTCACAATAAGTAGAGAAAATGCCAATACCTAAGTAACATGAGGAAGCAAAGCGCAGCTCTAAGCATGCTAAGACTCATCCCTACCAGGCACACATGTGTTCATCTCAGAGGGGTATAGATTTTAGAGAACGTCTGATTCCACCTCTAACAAATCTTCACACAGCACTGAATGGAGGCGATTTTGTAAATTACCAGCACTAGCCTGGCAATCAAAATCACCATGTAGGACTAAACATTATGAAAAGTTAGGGAAAAACTCACAGTGCACAGTCCTTGAAAACCAAGGTTTTTACAATCAATACATATGACTGAAAAAACAAAAATATGCATGACTTCTATTTCACAGCCTCTTTACCCACCGTGGCAATGCATTATGAAAATCTCTTACATTCTAAGAGACTGGAACTTTCACTCACAGTCAAAGTGAAAGTCACTTAAAAGATTGCTATCTTAGGGTGTACTTACCCTGATTATTTAAACTGTCTTTAAGAGAAAAATGGAACAATCAACCTTACTTGCCTGGGATTTCCCATGTAATCAACTTTTGCAACCTAAGCTAATAGCATAGCTATGATCTTAAACTATGTACTCTTCCATGCCCCTGATCCAGAACAATGCATGTGTACCCTTTGCTGAAAGCAACAAATCAGAGGTTGAAAGCAACCTTCTAAAATGAGCATCTAGGGCTGGAGAGATGGCTCAGAGGTTAAGAGCACTGCTTGTTCTTCCAAAGGTCCTGAGTTCAATTCCCAGCAACCACATGGTGGCTCACAACCATCTGTAATGAGATCTGGTGCCCTCTTCTGCCTGCAGGGATATGTGCAGGCAGAACACTGTATATATAATAAATAAATAAATCTTTAAAAAATAAAATAAAATAAAATAAAATAAAATAAATAAAATGAGCATCTACTTAGGGATACTGGCTGATAAACAACAGTGTTTGTAGTGGTTTGTTACCTAGGTCAGTTAAGATCATCTGGAGCCAGTGACATAATCCCTTGTAAAAATCTGTTAAAGATTTCTAGAAAGTGTCCTATTCTTGCCACATTTGATGTTTTCTGTGCTGCTCAGTAAATGCCTTTTGTTACAGACACAGAGACACAAGCAAGGACACAAGACACACACACAAACACAGGGACAGATTTACAAGACAGCCTTCAGCAGGCACAAATTCAGACTCATATAACTAGCAGAGGACAGAAGACCTAGGGAGCATGAGTAGAGAATTCAAATTTAGACTTGCTCTTTGTTACATGATCCCAAGGGGAAATGCTTTCTTTCCCTAATATGATTATGCATTCATTATTGGTGATTCGAAGTCCATCAAAAATGCATGTAATCCACACAACCTACCAAAATAATGACAGAACTTTGGGGCTGATCCTCGTATTTCCAAGCAGCCTTCAGTGTTTATCCTCCCCCTGCCCCGCCCCACAATGGAGATTAACCACAGGGCCTTGCACATGCTAGGTAGGTGTTCTACCCTTAAGCTACGCAACTTCCCCTCTCAGTAAGTACTTTTACTAACACAATCTACTGTAATAAAGACAGCTAAACTCCAGTGTGTCTCTAAAACAATCTCCCTTGCTCTCTATATTGTCTGTCTTTCTTACAGTTTACTCGGTAAACACGTTGTCTAATTTCAGAGCTTACAATCCAGCAAAGGAGGTGACTCACAAACCGTTAGAAAACAGTGCGCTATTTTGTCCTTTCCTGTGGTGCTGAGCTCAGAAGGATGTCCAGGCCACCATATGCCAGGCAAGTTCCCTTACACTGAGCTCTATCCCCAATCCAACAATTAGCACTTGTCTTCCCATGACTAGGCCCTTTTTATTTACCTATTTCTATTTCGAGTCTTATTGACACAAATATATTTATAACAAGAGTTTTGTAACAGTTTCATTCATGTACACAATGTAGTTGATTCTCCCACTTCCCAACTGCGCTCTCTTCTCCCCCTCCAACTGGTCCCAGGCCTCTTATAAACAACCTCCCGTCTACTTTCACATCTTTTTCTTTATATCCAGAGAAAAACATGCAATGTTTACCTTTCTGGGTCTGGTTTATTTCCACTTAACATAATTTCTAGTTCTATTTTCCTGCACATATGATTTGATCCCATTCTTTTTTGTGGCTGAATAATACTCCCTTGCATATATCTTTATCCAGTTATCTGTTGATGGGCATCTAGGCTGGATCCATAACTTGACTACTGAGAAGAGTAGCACAATGAACATGGATGCACAGCTATGCTGTGGTATCCGTGGGTCCCTTCGGTGGATGCCCAGGAGTGGTACAACTGGAACGCAAGGTGGCTCTTCCTTGTTTTTTAATTCTGAAGAATTTCCACACTGGCTATACTAATTACATTCCCAACAACAACATAAATGAGCTCCTTTCCAGCTCCTAATATCCACATTATTATTTGTTCTTGTTTTCTTGATAACAATAGCCATTCTGGTGAGATAGAATCTCAAGGTTGTTTTGATTTGCATTTCACTGATGGCTGGAGATGTTTAACCTTTTTTTAAAGAGTTCTGTGTATGTGTGTGTATGTGTGTATGTGTGTGTGTGTGTGTGTGTGTGTGTGTGTGCGCGCGCGCGCGCGCGCACGCATCCAAAAGTATGTACACCACATATGTGTGGTCCACAGAGGTGGGAAGAGGCTGTCAGAATCCCTAAAGCTGGAGTTATGGGTGATCATGAATCACCCCACATGGTGCTGGGACCCAAACTCAGTCCTCTAGAAGAACAGTACATACTCTCAATGACTGAGCCACCTCTCCAGCTCCTGGACATTTTTCTCATGTATTTATTGGTCATTTGTACTTGTTTTGAAAACTGTTCAGTTCATTTGACCAAGGGTTAGTCAATGTCTTCTTTGGGTGTTTGGATTTTTAAAGTTCTATGTTCTGGATATAAATGCCCTGTCAAAGAACTGAAATACACTAGGGAAACAGGCTTCTACCCATAGTGTAGGCTGTTTCTTCACTCTCTCAGTTCCAACTATGCAACTTTTTAGTAGGGCATAACACCATTTGTCAATTCTTTTACTGCATTTATTTGTTGATCCCTGGGGGAGAGGAAGGAGCACATGCCCCAGTACCTGGATGAGGGCCAGAGAACAACTTGCAGGCGTTGGCTTCCTCCTTCCATTATATGGGCCTCGGAGATACTCAGGTGTTAAGTCTGGCTCTAACCAGCTGAGCCATGTCATCAACCCACATTTATCAACAGTCTTATACAGAAAGTCTGCCTGTGCCTGTATCTTGTGTTTCCCTGGTTTCCTCTAGGAGGTTCATGCCTTTCATTAAGGTCTCTGATCAATTTTGAATTGAAGTTTTACAAAACGAAAAAAGGGATATGGTTTCAGTCTTCTACTTGTGAACACAATCTTCTCAGCACCATCTGTCACCAACAATTAAGTTTTATGATGGTGATGGCAATAACAACTGTAGAGGAGGTAATGAGATCATCAGTTAAGACAGCCACTTGCTATATGCTAGCAACTGCTCTAAGCTCTTTTTGTAGGTCTTAGTTTCTTTAATACAAGAGGCTCAGCCAGACAGTGGTGGTGCACACCTTTAATCCCAACACTCAAGAGGCAGAGGCAGGTAGCTTTCTGTGAGTTCGAAGCCAGTCTGGTCTACAGAACTAGTTCCAGGATAGCCTGTCTCAAAACAACAACAAAGAAACAAAACAAAACAAAAACCCCAAGAATTCCAGAAAGTGATTAATTCTTTGACTCATTTTATAGATGAGAAAACTAAGGGGCAAAGAGTTAACCAACTGTGACATTCATTGTAGTAGACATAACCAGCATTTAACCCGACATGGAACAGGCAAAAGTCTAAATGAACCACTGCAATTACAGACAGTTATTTTCCAACAGGGAGTCAAACAATTCAATTCAAAGATTATCATTTTCAATACTCCTATGAAAAAGTCAGGCTCCTACATCATGCAGGGTATAAAAATTAGCTTAAAATTAGTCACATATTAAAATGTTAGAGCTAACATTATAGACCTCTTAGAAGAAAACATGAGTATAAATACTGTGAACCTCAGATCAAGCAACAGTTGCTGGCATATAAAGCCAAAAGCACAAGAAACCAAGATGTGGGGAGGATGGTGTGGCTCGTCAAAAGTTTTAAACACTGTACTCAAAGGCACAATCAATAAAATGAGAAGATAACTAATGCAGTGGCAAAAGGTACTTGCAAATTGTATCTAGACTATATAAAGAAACTTCAAAACTGGACTATTCAAACAATCCAGTTTAAAAATGAGCACAGTCTTGAGTAGACATCTGTAAGATATTGCAGGTGGTCAATAAGCACATAGGAAGTTCATCCAGATAGGGAAGTTCATCCAGATGGCTCAGTGGTTAAGAATCCTTGTTGCTCTTCCAGAGAATAGTAGTTCAATTCCCACCACCTACATGACAGCTCACAACCACCTGTAATTCCAGTTCCAGGGCATCTAACTCCATCTCCTAACCTCCAAAGGCACTAGGCAGCATGTGGTGCACATACAGACATGCAGGCAAGACATTCACACATAAAATACGAGAGACCTTTAAAAGGAAAAAAGATCAATATAATGAAATACGACCCAAAAATCACTCTAGGGTGATTTAAAAAAAATAAAAATAAAAAAGGAACAGACCAGTATTGACAAAACTATGGAGAAACTGGAATCTTCATGTACTTGTTGATCAGAATGTAATTTATATAAACACTCTGGAAAACCAGTGAGAAGTTACTCAAAAAAACACCATTACCACATGACCTAGCAATTCTCCTACATAAACACTCAAGAGATTAAGAACATTAGTCTACAGAAAAACTTTGTAAGTGAATGTCCATAACAACATTATATTTAGTAGAAAGAAGTGGAAACATCTCAAAATGCCCACTAACTGATGAGTGTATAAATATATGTGATGTAGCTATACAATGGGATAATATTTGGCAATAAGGAATGAAGTACTGATATATGCTACAGTGTGGGTAAAGTTTAAGTATATTAACTATGAGAAAAATAAGCACAGAAGCCACGTATCACATGATACCATTTCATCTACGTCCACAATAGACATATACACAGAAATATGTATGCTAGTGTTCCTGGGAGAAGAGAGGAAGTATAGTTTGTTTCTCTTCTGGGCTGGTGGGGGAGGGGGAATGAAAATGTTCTGGAATTAGCAGATGATGGCTCTACAACTGTGAATGAGCTTATCTAAAGGATGGATTTTATGGCACATGAATTATATCTCAAAGCCGTTGTATTTTAAAATATAGAAAATACAATACTGTTCAAAGGAAGGAAGTCTGGTATATTTTAACCACTCACAGATCTTCCATATACTATGCAGAAACACAAAGTGGAGGAAATCTGTGGACAAATTATACATCCCTAAAAATTATTTTAAGAAAATTCCATAACGGGGGAAAAAAAGTTAAATGTAGGGCTGAGAAGATGGGTCAGTAGGTGAAGTTCTTGCCTTAAAAGCACAGATCCTGAGTTCAAACCCTCGGTACCCAAATAAACACCAGGAAGGCATGGCCGCCTGTCTTAGGGCACAGGAGGAAGACATAGGCAATCCCCAAACTGGCTAGCTACATTACCAAATCAGCAAATCCTAGATTCAAGCAAAAGAACCTACTTCATTATATAAGGCAAAGAAAAATGGACAAAGACATCAACCGATATCAACCTCTGACCTCCATACACATATATACACTTCCATATATAGCATACACATTTGCCATAAAAGTTCACTGTGAAAAGGTGATATACAGGTGAAAAGGTGATATACTGCATGCATGGCCTCACTGATGTTAATCCACATGCACCATTAATGAAGAGCCTCCACCACTAATCCCACAACTCCATGAGACATAACATTATCTTGAAAGACAACACGGTACAGTGGCTGAGAGTACAGCCTGGAATCAGACTGTATGGATTCACCCTTCAGCCTTACCACTGACTCTAAAATGAACTGTAAGCTGCTTGGAACCCCCTGCCTGACACATACTAAGTCTCATCGAACTGTTGATGACATCAGTGACAATTATTAATTTTCTCAAATGAGCTAACTAAGGCTTAGAGAATGTAATCACATTGCTTAAAGTAACGAAAATAATAATGAAGAGAGCAGAGAAGAGAGCTGGGAAACCACTAAAAATAGATTAACTCTGCTTGGTTCAGAACATGCGACTGTCTAAAAGGGAGGGAACTTTTATTTCAAATTATATTTAAAATATACATTTATTCCTAAGCTCAAACTGTCTACTCTTCCTCCATCTCTACTAAGAACGATTTTGTTATTAATCTTCCTGCAAGGTTTCTTCTTCACTCATCCATCCACTCAACTCATCGAATAACTCTGAAAGTGCCTGCTAAGAGCCAGGCACCAAATAAAACAAAAGAGAAAAACAGCCTATACCCTCATAGAGGTGGGTTTCTCAAAGGACCGTTTAAAAATCGAAGAGGCAGGCCCGGAAAGTCGATTCTTTATGTCAAGGAAGTAACTAACCTACAATACACATGAAGGAAAGCTACCTCCTCTCCTCAATTCACTCCGCAAAGTTGGGGCTGAAGATTAAGCATGAATAAAAGAGGAGTGCAAAGAAAATGCTCTGTGCAAGGGAGAGAGCGCATTTGCAGAACTTGTGTTCAGTCTGAATAGCAACGACTTGAAAGAGTCGAGGAAGAAAGCTGAGGGCCACAGCAATGTGAGCGCTATACAAGACCACAAGAAGCCCTTGCAGGCTTTTAAGGGGGGAATTCTACCAGATTTACTTTAACTAGTATGAACACAAACTGAAGGGCTACAAGAACCCTGTCCTGCCATCAATCTTACCCAGCTACAGGGATCCAGATCTCATTTTCCTTCCTCCTAAGATTTTAATGGAGAAGAATTCAACCTTAAGGCCTGCATTCGTGTGGCCCGACTGACTTTTCTTTCCAGTTTTCCCTCCCGACCTTTCTCATGCAATGCCCAAGCACCGTTTGGAACAACTTCATACTTTTGACTCCCGATCCCAAGCCTGCCCGAAACTCTCAAGCGGCCCTAACCGCGCTCAACTTCAAGGACACGCCCTGTCCCCACACCCCGAGTACTTTGCCACGCCTTTGCTGGACAATAAACACCCGGAACACCGGGGCAGCCGAGGGGTTTCTACCGCCAGCCGGGCGCCTGGACGAGTGGCGCATGCGCACGGTCGGGCGTCCCGCAGAGGGAGCCGCAGGCACTACCCGGAAACGCACTCCGGGCTCAGCGAGGAGAGCAGCTGTGCGGCCCCGAGCGGAGGGGTCGCCCGCCCGGGCGCCGGCCGCATCTCCCCGCCTAATGCGCGGGCGTCAGGCCTGCCGCCCCCGCTACACCCAACCTGCCTTGCCGCTGGCCGACTGCCGCCTCCACCCCGGCTAAAACTTCAGCCTCCAGAACCGCAGAGCCCGCCACCGGGGAACGCGGAAAGTGGCTTCCGGGATGTTGCCAGGGTTACCAGAGCCCCGCCCCCACGCCTTTGCGTACATCCGGCGAGCCCCTCGGACGCGTCCCAGAACCCGCGCCCGGTGGATGGCTGGGGCCGTGTTTTCTCTGGTTCTGTTTCCATCCAGAGAGCGCACTGCAGAGGGCTGAAGGGCGCGCTCGTCATAAGCCTCGAGAAGTCTCCAAAAGAAACTTTTCTCTGCACGCCAGGCTCCGCATATCGCACTTATTTGCCTTCACTTTTGTTCACTTGCTTAAAAATATTTCTTACCACCTACCTGTGTGTCAAACACGCTAGGTTCACTAGGAACTAAAAACAGACCCTGCCCTCAAGAAGTTTACAGCACCCTAGCAGAAAGCTATTGGTGACAGAAACGGGCACGGTGAAAATAGTGGCAGATCTTAGAAAGAATCGTACAAGCTTGAGAGTGCCGTTACAGGAATGTTTTGATTTCTCGGGAAAGCTGAAATTCAAGGAGGGGCAGACCATCAAAAGCATTTCTACAGAGGGAATTGCCTGCGCAAGGATGTATGTCAAATGGCAGCGGATGAGTAGAAGTTGAGAGAAATTTGGTGGTTGTGCTTGGATTGGAGCCAAGGTGTGCATAACTTCGCTGATCATGTTAAGGACATTACAGTGAACTTCTTATTCTTGATAACTTCCTTTGTAGCCCCTGGCCTTCTATTGTAAAGAAAGAGCTACACATGGATCAACAGATATATATTCAGAGTCATCTAGGTGCAAGGAACTGCCTTCTGGGAGTCTCCACTGATTTGATGCGGATGTGTTAAGTCATCTGGCAAGTTTCCAGCACCCACTTTCCTAAGTGTTGCAGCTGCACATGTAAGACAAACGCCCATGCTGACTTTAAATTCGTGCCCAATAATCTTAGGTAGGCCCCTACAGGTGATTGGACGTTTTGTTACTGGTCCCTGCTCCATTGATTCTCTCAATCCCCTAGGTGACAGTGGTATAATTTCTTATTTAGCTCCTTCTCTAACTTCATGCCAGACTATTGCCTTACTTGTTATTTCATTGATAACACTGAACTCATTTTAAGAAAACCTCTATCAGCTTCCATCACGGCTTCAGTCCTCTGATCGACATATTTACCTACAGATGTCTTTTCCTTCAGCTTCGGAAGCTCAGTGAAACATAAGCGCGCGCGCACACACGAAAACTACAGAGTTCATAATAATCAAATTGATCAAAAGTGGTGATACAGAAAAAAATCTAGAAATTAGACGTGTACAAGAACAAAAGTTAAAATAATAACAATTTCTTTTTAGAAACAAAACTAGACAGGACAATAACATATATGTTGTTCCATTTATTTCTGCCTTAGTTTTAATATATATATATATACATATATATATAGTCTTTGTTTATGTATTTTATACATATTAAAGAAAAATACATCTTCTTTAGAAAAATAAAAAACTGATTATGAAATTCTTATGAAAATATGGAAAGACCTGGTTTGGACTGCAACCTCTTAAAAGTGAGCCAAGTAAATCTTTTCTTCATTTTAACTGTTTCTCTCAGGTATATCACAGCAACAAACAGTCTGAAAAAAGAAGATCCCTATTAGTCTTCTTCTGCAGATGGCAAATGACCGTGTCTGTAAGTCCCTATCATCTCATTAATAGAACTGGAATAATCTACTGGCTTTTTTCCTGGGGGTCCAGGAACAGATTACATAGCCTACAGATAGTAAGATTGATGGTAGTGACCTTCCTGCTTGGGATAATATTGATAACCGAGATAGAACAGTACATTTTAGTTTGACAGTTATAGTAATAACCGGTTATAGTAGGTGAAAGTAGAGTGCCAATTACAATAACCAATGGCTTGCAATAAGTGATAAGAATGGACCTCACTGAGCTGGCTACAAACAAAGCAGGTAGTAGACCCTGTCTTTGTCCACCATCTTGACTAGAAACTGTCCATCAAGATAGCTGCTTGTTTGAAGGATTTTAGCCTATTTTCAACAATAGGCTGCTACTTGAGAGAATTTTCATGGTGAAGTCTTCTCTTGAAGCAACTCTCCAGTAGTGTGGAATTTCAGATTTCTTTCCTTTAGTGGTTATGTAGGCTAAATCTGAGTGTCACCCAAACGTCTAGTGTTTAACAGTTGATTGATCTTCAGGGTGGTAGAACCTTTAGTAGTTGGGCATGCTTGTGCACAATTTTAACCCCAGCACTTGGGAGACAGAGCAGATCTCTGTGAGTTCAAGGCCAACCTGGTCTACATAGTGAGTTTGTGGACAGCTAGAGCTACAAAGTGAGACCCTCTCTCAAAAAAAGAACAAAAAAGAAGTTCTAGGGTCACTAAGAACATACCCTTGAGGGTATTGTGATGTTTAACATCTTTTTTTCTTCCTGGTCACAAGGTATGCTGTTCTCTTTGCTGCAGGTATAACCATCCACTATGGCCACCAAATTCCCAAAACAATGAATCTGCCAGATCTTGAACTGGAGCCTCTAAAACCATGAGCAAAAACCAATATGTGTATGTTACCACAGGTATTTCATTAAAGAAAAAGCTAATTGCAGTTGTGAAACATAAAGTGAACGATGGCTTTCTGGAGTTTCACTGCTACATTTCTTGATGATTGTACCTAGTAAGAGTCCTTCTGTGGGAGCCCGTTCTGGGGTTCCTCGTGGCTTTACCCAGCAGGTCTGAATAGTGGATGATCAGGACCACGGGCCTGAGTGCAGGTGTCTGAGATGGCCTGCACTTGGCTGTGCTGGGGGAGGAGGTCTTTTGCTCCACCCCCTTGGCGTCTCTATAAAA